ACCCTGTTAAATGACATTGCAATCAAAGAGGCTGACTGACGTGGATCTCTTCTTGCCTACTGCACAATGTAGCTACCTTAGAGTAGTTGTTCGTGGTCGACCACCTCCTCTCCTTCGTGCAACAGTATGAGATTTTCGGAATGCTCCGCACGTGAAACAACGCTGTGAGCGATATAAGGTTCCTGAGCTGCGCTCGTCATGGTTCGACCTTTTTCGAGTTTCTCGATGATCCTTCCTCGTTCCAGGTCATCCGGACGATGTCAGCGGGATATGATGTATAGAAGGATAACACCACAGTGCTTGGTAGCTACTAGCTGATTGACAAAAAAAATTTTTTCCTACCTAACAGCTCCCTCGATTTGTGCGGGTAGCCATATTTTTCACTTTATTTGAACTATTCCTCCACCAAGGGATGTTCAACTCCCTGTGCATAACGGTCATAGGTCTGGCAATATAATCCCACACTTTCATTTATTTCCACCAAGTCCTCAATGTTTTATGTTACATTATCCATCTCGTCCCTAAGTTTTGGACACCAGTGTATAAAACTCCGAAAAAGCTCTAGTTCAACGGTCACTTAGGTTTTCATTTTCATCCCAGAACTTTAGGAGGAAGAAGATTCGGGTAGTATTCCCGTGAAGGAACTGTTGTTTGTATTCTTTAAAAATATCTGGGTTGTGTGAGCTATTTATGTGATGGCATCGGCATGTTTCCGATTTTTTTGAATATCTTTGTGATTGACAGGGCCCAGTCGGTTTTTGCTGAAACAGGTCACAGAGAGAGAAATAAAAAAGAGAGAAAACTATTTTGGGTTACACTGTAAAATGAGAACGACAAGGCCAAATTGCAAACCGATTCATATAATCGAATGATGAGTTACCCGTAAAGGCTGGAGCGTGCGCTAATTCCACATCCGACACCAAAATAACGAAATTCGATATTTATTTATTTATTTGTTTACTTATTTATTTATTTACTTATTTATTTATCTATTCACAAGAACGAACATCACATCACATGTGCAGCCAGTGACAGGGAGAGCCAAGTGGCAGTTATCAGAGCCCGATTATTTGAAAACTAGGTTGGTTCGTGTCTTCTGAATGCTCGTGTGTCATATCACAAAATATCACATCATATCACGTCGTATCATACCATATCATATCATATCACATCAAGTTACATTACACCAAATGGCAGCACGCGTCAACTATGAGCATATATTGTCATATCTTATCATATCATATAGTATCACATCATATCATCATATGTTACCCATTAGATTTGTTATGTGTATCAAAGGACTACTCGATACTTTACTTTATATAAACTTTCGCTAGAAATGATCAGTGGATTGGGCATGATTGGGCTCTATTCAGAGTCTGACTAATGAAGCGAGGGCCTGCTGTTTTTGACCCATTCGAACCATGAAACATGAAAACTTTTTTTGGGTTATCTTTAAATAATGGATTGTCTTGTAGGTCCACGGTATCGTTCATGACACCATTGAATTCGTTCAAAACATTATCACAACAGAAATGAACTCGGCCACTGACAACCCGCTGGTATTCGCCGAACGTGAAGAGATTATTTCTGGTGGTAATTTCCATGGAGAGTATCCGGCCAAGGTGAGCATAGACCACGTCAGAAAGTCCCATGACCCAGAAAGTTCAACCATTTAATCATGCACTTCAGGCACTTGACTATTTGGCCATTGCCGTCGCTGAATTGGCACAGATGAGCGAACGTCGACTGGAACGTTTGGTGAATAAAGAACTGAGCGGATTGCCTACGTTCCTTACGCCTGAAGGAGGTCTAAACTCTGGACTGATGACCGTACAGCTGTGTGCTGCCAGCCTCGGTCAGCTTTTGACTTCATCACATCGTATCTGTAAGCTTCCCCGTAGGAAAAGAGATCCTACTATCCCTGAAAACCTACGATTTTGAGGAACCTAGTGGGTACAGCGCAGGAGGCCCACTGCGCGACTTCTGAAGCAGAAACCCCACAGGTATTTCAGGGAAATTGAGATCTAGGAATAGATCGTTAAGGCCGAATCTCTGTAGAAACCACTAATCCAGTACTGCATTTTCAGANNACATCCCCTCGGATCGTCCCCTGTGCTCTTTCCTCAGTAATTCTTCGCTGGCTAACTTCTCATTGGAATATCCTCTCCCCAGATCGAATTTGTGTGGCAAGAACTCTATTAAGCGACTTCAGGAGCGTCTGGAATGGGAGGGTTCTCATTTTGTATTCCACTGTTCGTAGTATGAACTAGTACCTCGTAATTCTGAAGTAACGAGTAGTTGTACTCTTCCAGTAACGCACTTGGAACAACATCTCCCATCTAGGGAAGCTGTAAGTTGGAGTGAGATAGATTTAATGCCTTCCGCAAGTGGCCATGGGAGCGTGCGCCACGAGAAATCGCGAAGACCACCTTGAGACTGTTGCTGTTGAGGGGACCGATTCGACAGGAACGATCAATTTGCATGTTTGCAGTTTCTGAAAATAAAGTCCTATGCCATCCATCGTCAGTGGACAGCATTCCGACCAGTTGCAATCAAGAGGACCATGTCAGTATGGGAGGATTCAGTGCCCGAAAGGCATTGACTGTCGTTGAACATGTGGAAGCTGGTGAGTCCACCCTTTATGAAGACGACTCTTTGAAAATCTGTCCAGGACTTCATTTTTGTTTACATGTTTATTATTTATTTCATCAAACATCAGTGCTTTCTGTGTCCAATCTGTTTGTGCTGTCCGTTTATACTGATCGATCACTCTTTCCAATGTAGTACTCGCTATGGAATTGATGGCTGGCTGCCAAGGACTTGAATTCCTCAAGCCACTCGTCTCTACAGCTCCACTCAACAAGGTCTATCAGTTGGTTCGCACTGTTTGCGCGTGAGTTCAGTTAGTACTTAACTAGAACTCGATACTTAGGTAAAAGTAGTTGGTGACGAACTTTTGCAGACCTCTAACCGAGGATCGCTTTATGCAACCTGAAATCGAGGCTATCGTTCAGTTGTTGAGAGAGAATAAGGTCAGTTTCCAATAAGATTTTTGGAATCATTCATGCGGTATGCATAGATACAGTAATTCTTTCCTGATTACAGTAATTTACAGTACCTCGTAAGGTTGTCGTCTTCCAAGTATGTAGTTTGCTTTATCGGTTTGTGTGTGACACTTTTCCATAAAAACACGACCTTTATAAGGGTTTTGTAGGTCTGGGAATGTGTACAGCCGCATCTGAAGACCCTGAGGGAGATGGAGGAGTTGGATCCGGATGCTCTTCGTACGGATGCCAAGACACCAACTGGTATTGTGATGTCAGAAAGGCTCGAGACCCCGGCATTGGATTCAAATGGGTCCGATGAGCATTCTGATCATGAACAGTGCCATTGAACTACTAAAACTTATCGCCTTACCAGTATAAATGTATTTACTCGCGAGGTGATTACAAGTTATACTAAATTACTTTATTTTTAATGAATGTAGATTTCGTAGGAGAGTAAAGGTCTGCATTGCGTCCTCCGCGGGAAAATCAGGTACGGAGCCATGAACCAGTATGAATCTCATTAGATCGTTCAAGACTAAGTCCCAAAAATGGGCGTAGATAGACGGTTTTTAAGGGCTCTGACGTTACATTAAAAATGTATCGGTATGTCTAGAAATGAATGGTCTGTTATTGCAATATTCTTTCGAAAAGTGTAGCCTGGACACTGGTGGCACATCTGGGCGTCCTAAGTGCTTTCAAGGACTGGGAAACTCTCAGAAGGAAAGGAACTGTGTCCTAAGATTGCCGTCGACTACCTTCCAGACTTCCAAAAAATTTCCTGCCCACGGAAGAAGCAGCAGAAAGTATGACATTAGGAAAGAGCGCCCTCTGGTCTCTGAAAGGTTGAAAGATGGTCAGCCGGCCATAGCTCTCAGGTTTGGCCGAGAGTAGGAATTAGAAATGCAGTCGCAGACTTCTCCAAGGTTCCATGTCCACGCTAGCTCTGAATTTGAGGAATTTTTACTATCCATGAACTTGATTATTACCTCCATTCTGGCTTTCATTCTGCTGATAACATGACCAAACGGAATCGGAGCATTTTACTCATCCATTAACTTTTTTCTGTCGTCGCCATTCTTGAACGGAACGATTTTTCGATGTCCCCAGTTATTTGTATCAACAGTTCAGAAAAGGTGAATTTCAAATGGAATCCGGGGTTCCAGATCCGCCCAAATTCAAAAGCTCAGCAGATTCTGCATCAGACTTTTCAAATTCCTAAATTTGCTGGTGTACTCTGCGCTCTTGTTCTTACTTAAGATCCCTACTTCCGCATCTTGGACCCTAGGCGTCGGTTTTAGCTCTGGAGTGTTTGGCCAGGGAATTAGCTGAGACAACAGTGAGGAGGGGACATAAAGCTGAACGCTGGCTGGCCAGCCACCATCAAGCAGCGTGGGATAGCCGGACCTCATTAGGATTTGACCCCATCCGGCTGTGCTGTGACCACAGCACGACGTAATCTCACACAATGCTAATGAGCTACGATACGTTGACGTTTATTGGCAGATTGCCAAAGCAAAACACTTAGCCTCAAGCGTGAGACGGGACGTCACAAAATTGTTTATTATTGCTTGTTTACTGAACGACAACGAGTTCAATGACCCTGTAACGTAATAGTAATAATAATACAGTATAACAAACTAAAGTACAGTAGAATATATAATGAGAAGAAGCTCTTTTCAATTGGGGAGATCACACGGACATAGAAGTAAAGTCACAGGGCGTTGGGGATCTATTCCACCCCACGAAGGGAAGGAATAAATGACAAGAATTGGACAGAAACACCACAAAGTGAATCGGAAAAAATTAGCAAAAGCAAGAAATTCAGAGAAGCGGACCCAAGCGTCCTACGAGAAGCTTCCTGGACCACTTAATCGCTAGTGACAGTTGACCTAACGAATTAAGCTTTAGCACAGACGACGGCTATTCCAGGCAAAAACGATAGGCTAAGGATAGATAAAAGCTTTGAGAAGTGTAAAGGAACAGCGACACAGCTGGGAAATACAGCTCCCACAGCTATTCAATCAATACGAGCCGTCAAAAATCAATAAATTAAGGAGGATGCTCAATAAATACTAATTTGACTGGATATAGGTTGCTCAGCACTAAGCATAGTAAGATGCGAGTATTACTGTATCGAGGTTACTGTAGGAAAATCATCTACGACGTAAAAAAATCGTTGGTTTCTCAGGGACCGACTGATTGATGTCCTTGCACATCAACGGAAGTTTGCAAAGTGGGGTCTCCCTCCCAAGGAGCGAAGGGCGAAGTAGGGTGGCCAGTTCTGGCATTCACTACTATAATAGAAATGATCGGCAGGACTTAGGGGATGGGTTTTCGGGGGCTTTGAGGCCCTAGAAGGGCCAGAGTCAAGCAAAACGTCTAGATAGACAACTCAAAAGTGCACTCCATCGGTGGTCGCAGCCAGTTGGCATTTCGTCTCAGACGGGCTTTTTCGACGATTGAACGAAGCTCGTCGGAACGTAGCTAAAATAAATGTTTTGAAAATGTTTATTACAACGGTTCGAGGTAAACACTAAAAAAGAAAAGGTAAATTATTCTTAAGAAAGGGAAAAAGAAGCATTTTGACAGACAATACCCTTGAGGGAGGGCTTACTCCAGCTTTTTTTCCAGGTTATCCCTGAGCCGAAAAAATCTCCTAGAGGTTGAGGGGGACTCCTTCTTTCGGAGACATTTGACGTTGCGGAGTGAGATGGCGCCCTGCGTTCACCGCTGTCATGGGTGAAAGATTTGCCGCAAACGGGAAGTCTGAACGAGTCCCTCGGGTGGGTTGACCAACGTGTCTGAATCGGACCCTGTGGTATGCTCCATCAAATTTTGACAGAAGGTCTGACGGAAGGTCGACCCGGTTGTTGTTCGGGAATGCAACGGATCTTCCCAGAGAATTTGTCTTGAATCTCATCATCAGGGGTGAAAATGGGCAACAAACTCAGAGCTTGTGAGCCTTCTCTCATCTCCACTCAAAAACCATCTAAGATGGGAAGGCGGAATTCCAGGGTTATCCCAATCCAAGAGTGAACCTAACTGAGCACTTCCGGGTCACTGAGTTCGATTTTTCGGGATATTTCGTGGAAAAAATCGTAACAAAGCAAATCAATTCACCTGCAATTCAGCAATTTGTGCATCGAGTTCAGTCAAAAACTCCTCCTCACATTCCTCCATCGTGGCCGGCTTTCCCACTCTGGAAAGCGCCGCTTCATCGAATGTAGTCTGATTTGCTTTGTTGGCATTGACAACTCGTGAGAAGTACGATCCCGGATAGACGAGGGAGTTTGTCCGTTCAAGTTGCTGGGAAATCGGTGAAGAGACAGCATACGGTGTCGCATATTCGTCAGGTGTCTTGGGTAAGATACGCCTGAAGGACTGGTTCCGTACGACGAGTGGCTTAGTGGTAGGATTACGTTCTGAAGCCAGAACGATGTTCGGGGCACGACGTTCGGGTAGCAGGTCATAGTTGGTCCATGGCTGTGCGTAGATGGGTGATTCAGGGCAAGCATAGATGGGTGAACTCGAGCGGGAATCATCCAAACTTGACAGTTGCTCAGAGCTGTAGCTACGCTCCGGAACACGGCAACAGAGCTGAAATAAAAATTCAGTTGGATTATGTCATTTGCATGTTCTTAACGAAACACCCTGAAAGTAACGGTCTCCTACAGTATACTGTTTAGAGCGGACCTTCAATCAAGTTCACTGGAACGTCTAGGAGNAGCACTAAGCCATAGGAAGTTCTCTGAGAAAGTTCTTCTTTGTTCCTATTGATTTCTCTCGATCATTGTCTAATATTCTCCTTATCGTGGTCCCTAGAGGTTCCCCCCCTCCTTCTGAACCCTTGAGCCGACAGTGCAAGGGTCATTTACGTGCCAGTCTCATTAAAGGAAGAGAGCCTTGGACCAAGTGATCAGTGATCAGAAAGGGGTTATCCCTTGACGTATGCCCAGCAGGTTTTCCAAACTGGTACAGGCAGTTCAGAGATAGGGGCCGAGGATTACTTCACCTACTTTCGTTCGTCCTAGGTGGAATCCGGTGGAATCCGAAAACACCCGAGTGAAGCCTTACTGGAGATCTTCGAACTCTGGAAAACAAGTTGACCGATGGTCTCATCAGTCCACCTCCCCTTATTTCCCCGCAAATTCAAGCTGATGAGACTGAAAGGGGTAGCAAAGCGTAACAAACAAGCTCCGGATGAATGCAAACTGGTGAAATATTCACAAGTGACTGGCAACGGGACAAAGCTCTCTCTCATCAACTTATACGATTCCACTTCCGTTAGTCTACCCTACTGGCTGAAACTCACTTCAAGTTCATGATAGATATGTTGATCTTCGTCGCAGACATTGTCGTAGGTAGAAAATGACGACGTTTCTTCCAAATAGCAACCTTCATCAAGTGGTTCGTCAGTGTATGGGCTGGTAGCTGTTTGCCATGACGTCAAATGTACGGATGAATCAGGGCTGCAAAGGAACATTCATTTGGCGGAGATAGACAATCCCTGAAGGATACGCCACACATTCGACTTCTACTCAGATTTCCCGAGGCATATGTTTTCAGTAAACTTTTGAGGCTTATGGGTAACCTATGGTAGAACCTCATACTTATGGCAAGTAACNCAACCCATTTGGTCTCTCTATGGCATTGGCTTTCATCCAAAAATACAGATTATTACGATCGTAATTACAATAATAGTAAACTGTACCATTGAATTTACCTTTATCGACTTTCAGTAGTGCACATCAGAGTTGAATGCCCCTTTGGTTTATATTTGCGACTTGGGAAAATCGGCGGATTTCAACCCATCGCCCATTCCCACAAGTTCAGGAACTCCGGAGAAGCCAACTAGGAAATTCTGGTGACCTGAGCCAGAAGTTCACTAACGGAAAACTCAGAGGGGTAATATAGTATTTCAAAGTAGCTGTTCCGAGAAAGGAAACCCTTCCTCATCGTTTTTCCTAGCGTCAATCCCCCCACCCTCGAAAACGGATTTGGTGCTCTTATTGGAATTCGCCACTTCTACCCGTTCAAAGCGGTAAAATGACTGAATCCCTTCCCATGAAACCCTTCAATCAGTGCTCATTTGGGACGTAAGACTGCCGGCGTTCAAGTGTTTCATTTAGTGGGCATTCCGACGGGCATACACTTGCGCAATCAACGTCAGCAGGCACATGATGGCCAACGAAGCCCAATGTGGAAGCTGCGGGAGACTGCCCGGCTGGCTGGCTGGGTATGCGAGCGCTGGCGGACCTTTAATTGGTACTCGAGAGACTGCGCACATTGTGTATGGGCACGATAATGCAATTCTGAAGCGTTAGATTGACACATATGAGCAGATATAGACTGCCTGGACATACGCACACTTCGTTCGTATCATGTAGGAGATAGGCTTAGATGACGCGATAGTCATGAGCTGATGAGGAAGACGGATGGACTTCCTTGGACTACTTCCTGACCAACTGATACAGCCATCTAAGCCACTTCCGAAACTACCATTTCCTGCATTCGCACCTTAGGAACAGCCTTAGTGAAGCTTCCGGAAGGAATTCCCATCGACAGATTCGAGAGGTGGAGAACCAAAAAAGGAAAAGAATCATTTAGCCGGTCCAAAACGGTGGAGTCTCTATGGGATTTAGTCTGGAAGTTCATTTTTTTAGTTCTCATTTCATTCGAACTGGGTCAGTCCGGTATTGAGTGGCGATACTGCGCTGCACTTTCTTAACTTGACTATGGGTTTATAAATAAATAAACAAGCAAGTAAATAAATGTGAGCTCAGTTCTAGTGGGACGTATGAGAAGTGGGGAGGAGGAGAGGGAAAGATCTGTAGGATTCCGATTGACTCCAACTTTCTGTAACTGAAATTTCCGATCCCCGATTCCGAAAAAGTTGGGGTGCTTCCCGATCCCTCCGATCCCAGCTTCCTTGCGGCTGTCGGCATCTGGAATGTGGAAAGCGTTCGGCTACTTTCTTTGGCTTTCGGAGCTCTTCAAAATGATCGAAAATCCAAAATTTGTCCCATCTGTCTCGACGGGTGTAATTTACGACCATTCTTCTTATAACTGAGCTTTGAGGTCAGTCACTGAACGAATTTCTCCTGGACTGCAATTTCGCTGAGCAAAAAGTTGGTAGATCTTATTTCTTTGACATAAAATTGGACAAAATATGGTCTGGGGTAAGAGGGGGAGGGGGAATTTAGGGAAACAGCTGGTGAGCGTTTTTATTTGCTCATTACAAATGAATGCCCTTGAGCTGATCTCAAAAACATAGAACATTTTTGATAAAAGTAGGGTAAAGTATCAGCTGGGCAGAAGAAACTCTGGGAAACTCATCCGTTCCCACGGAAAAATCTTTATTTGATCATTTAGTTAGCCTTAGATCCTCTCACTCTCCCCAGAGCATTTAGTACTCGTCATTCGCTATGGACAGGCTCCCTAAGCGTAATATCCGTGCATCCCATGAGTTGCACATGCCGGATGTGTTCTGTCTCTCCTACTGACAGCGGACATCACTCAATTTACACAGACACTAGTAGTAATTTGTCATATCTACTCCGTCAACACCAACTCCGATGCTTCTTTTCGTAGGCAACCATAGAAAACAGAAGCTTCCACCTACTTATTTAGTTGTTTGTTTATTTACATATCTTTTAAGCTAGTTATAAAGCCTCTTATGCCCTTCAACATGTACTCCAGAGATTCTTTTCGTAGGCAACCATGTAATCAAAAAGTTGATGAATGATTATTAACTTATTTATTTATTTACTCACTTATCTAGCTATTTATCTAATCATATATTTATTAACTTGTTTACACATCAATCTACTTAGTTATCAATGCATTTTAAAATTTATTTCGAAGCTTTTCGTTGACCTATTTTAGAGCTCTTCTTCGTAGGCAATTCTTAAAAAGAAGGTTTGTTTATTATTTATTTTTACTTTTGAGATGAAACTGCCAAACAATCATCGTGCGAATTTTCATAAGGGAAACATTCAAAGTGGTCGGAGATCACAGGCATTCCCAGTGCCAGTCCAGACCATCGAACTCTGAGGACAAATTTCACTAGAAAGCCGCGACAGGCTTCAAAATTAAGATTCTTTAGGAGTTTAGCACCTCAGGAACATTCGTGGGAGTCCCAAAAAGGCCGAGATTTTCTCTCCAAAGGAACTCTGAAGAAGAAGGAGCTTTCTCTTTTTCCCTATCAGTTTCCGCTTGACTGAGTCCTTCTCTCAGACTCGCTTTCCCGTCCCCTCTCAACCACGCTGCACTGCGCACATCTTCTATTTAATTTGGGTCCATTAGGGTGTGGTGTTGCAAGCCGTTGGCTCTTCCCTATTGCATTACCATCGACTGCTAATTGCTTCCTTCTTCAATCTACAGACGTCGTTTGTCAACATCATGGATAACTCTCAGAGGTGACTACAGTAGGCCTGGTTCAGTTGAAACAAAAGCAAACCCTGAAATCTGATTTTTGTCCGACCGATGTAATCAAAATAGAGTTCTGATTGTTCTGTTTTTTTCTCTCCAAAGCTGGTTTTAAGCCTGTCGCTTTCGCAAAATCACATTACTTTTTTGTTGCAAACAGAGAAATTCTCTCTACTCCTTACAGCTAGGAACCAGCCCGTGTCAGAAAATGCCTGGGCACTGAATCATGTTAGGTTTGATGGAAAAACTTCCTAAATATCCCCTATTCCTCCTCCCACGAGAAGAGAACCCAAGAAGTACTAGAAGGTGCCAGAAGGGAAAACTTGATTCTCAGAAATTTAGATTGATCTAGGTTCGGAACCCTTGGGTCCAGATGTGGGAGAGGATAAATAAACTTGTTGGGTGACGAAAAGTGTGACGACTCCGTTGGGATTACAACCCTTTCGGTCTTTCCACGACTATTTTTCAAGGAATTTTCGGCTCTCTATTGAGAGATTTCCTACTAAGTATAACTATATATAACTGAGCTCATTCAGTGAATTTCAGAAAAGGAAGAAAGTGTCTAAAAAGACTTTGACTCATTCTGAGAAAGGACTTTGCTTCTAAGAGGACATATGTGGGGTTTCTATACTGTAATGGTCGAGTGCATATGTACTGAAAGACCAAACAAGGGTTCAAGTCCCTCTGGGAGCTGAACGCCGTGTTCGCAGTTCGGTTCAATGCCTAGTGTTTATGCAGGGTCATTCGGTCTAATTTCCTGGCAGTTCCAACCAGAAGGCACCATTGTGAAAATTCCCTTGGGACGTCGAGAAGAGGAGGACAGGTTTCCATGGGTCATCTAAGTAGGAACATCGGGAATCCAAGGAGATAACCATAACCCGAAGGTTTCTTTGGGATTTTGTAGCCTTAGCAATTATAATACTGTTCCGTTAGCTAATCATCCGTTTCGCCAGTTTGTAAACCACCAGAAACACGAGAAACACGAGAAATTTTTTCTCCTTCTCCCTCTCCCATGATGAAAATGCGAAGTAAAACCCCATGATGCCTTTGGAGGTTACACTGATGGCTCTGACACTTATCCGCTGAATGACAGGTGTTGTCAACTGACAGTAAAAGTAGCTATATCAGTTGACATAGCTATGTAAACAACTTACTTTCACAGGGGTATTGAGTTATGGGTGAAGCAATTAGCATCAGACAGCTCCTAACCGTAGTTACGTTTCCCCGGAACTGTTCTGTACTCCTATCCTATCCAGACCCAATGGGCTCTCCCTACCCCCTTTGACACCCCTGCTCTCCTTTCCCTATCCCCTGCCCGCCGTTCCATTAGTTTCCTAGTGTTATGTTTACCATAGATTACCAGCGCAATGTAAACAGTGACTACTCTTTTTTTGCTTCGACGTGTTTATGATCACATACGAAAACTATTTCTTTACTTGTTTTTGATCGGTAGAGGTTCTGGAGTGGTATTTGGATGGGTTCGGGTTCTCCCATGGCAAGATGCATGGGTCACAAGGACCTGGTGTTACGCTAAGAGCCCAGACTGGACCGTGAGGCCCATTCTCGCTCAGAGGACCATATGGGCGAGTGACTACCAATAAGTCCACCTTGGAATGATACTAGGGACCATCACAAACTCTGAAGGCACCCTTTTCGTATTTATCTCGTGGGTAAACTGGCTTACTCTTGTTTCAGGCTCAAATTCCAAATGAACCTTCCCAAGTTTAGAAATATCCACGATTTAAGCCGACAACCCCCTACTCCTCCCATTTCTATAGTACAGTGGCTCTTTCCCGTATGGAATTCGTACAACAACAGTCATTCACTCAGGACAATAGCCAGTCAGCACGTCAGCACATATGACGCGGACGTGATTCGGAACAAATCAGTTTCTCGGAAACTGAATAGACGCCGAAATTCCGTCGTAGTAGCACAATGGACGTCTCCCGTGTGTGAGTAATTCGCGACACCCACGACGGCGCAGCACAACTCAACACTCACCTGCAATCCTGACTGCCATAACCGGAGCTGCATGTGCTTTCATCCAGACTTTTCACACCCAGCAATGTTGGTGGCAGGCAACGTCGATCCAACGAATGGGCTTCACCACGGAATGAGCCACCACTTCGTGACAGGCTATCACCATAAAGCCACGGATTCGTCCGTATACCCTGAAATCGTAACCAAATTAAGAGTGCGCCATGAACTTCAGAGACACCCAAATTTTTATCGATTGATAGGTTTATTAGAAGGCTACCAATTTCCGCTTCGCCTAGAAGACTGTGAGCTACATCCTGACCTAGCAATCTCCAGAAAAAGACCAGTGTCCGAGTTTTTCTGAATAGAGTATGTGGGTCGCTACCTACGTAGTCTTTGACGGCAGCCCTATTTTCACCCGTGATGTTCTTTGACTTGAAAATGGGCGCGCGAGGACTCGAGCGCGGTGTTCACAAAGGAAGTCATTATGGCGTTTCTTTGCAGGAGAATTTCAATACGGGCTAAGCCGATCACAACGGACGAACTGCGAAAAAAGGGATTAGAAACTAGTAGTCAGAAAAGGCCGACCAGTTTTTATGGCCAGTTGAATTGTGAGTACGAACAAATTAAGTTTAACTGGTTTGCTAGCCGTTGCATTCTGGCCAGTCGTTCATCTCCCCATCACAAGACCACTCCTCAACCCTTATATTACCATACAATGGTAGAGACAGCTCAACGGTAGGAATATTAGACACTAAAAGCAAAGTAATGGATCGGGTCCAGTCAAGGGATGTTAAGTCATTCTGAAGGCAATCCATTGATGTCGAACGTGCCCTAAGAATAAAAATGGGGTATCTCCATACCAAATGACCTTCCTGAAC